AAGTTCTAATACAAAATTGATCAAAATGAATTATGGAATGAATATAGTCAACTTTAGATATTTTGGTTCGATGACTATGTACAAAAGAACGCACACGAGGCTCCGGGGAAACAATGGAGAATCTTGATTTATTCTTTTATTTCCCCGGAGCCTCGTCTGCAATTCTTTTGTGCATGGTCACTGAACCAAAATATCTAAAGTTGACTGTTGTTAATGGCGTACAATGAAATATTTATTATAGACTCCTCCGCAGACATTACAAAGAGTCACGGAATTCTTGTTTGATTTTTTTKTTGTTTTTTGTTTTGCTGGTAGTCTGAAGAGAAGAGGGAGAACTTTTCCTTTTCAGTAGTCCCTAGCGCTCAATATGACCGTTACAAATGAAGCCCGAAGGAGGAAATAAGAAAAGACAGGAAGCCCGTGATTCTTTGTGATGCCTKYGGAGGAGGCTATAAATTATGCTTTAGTCGTCTAGCTAAAGACTGACATAAGAAACAGTTGTACTGTGTCATTGATTATTATGGTGGTACCCTATACTAGGTCACCAACCGGCTACAGCGGGTTCGTTAACCGGTTAGAACGCCAACCCACTACAACCGATTGAGAATCAACCCCGCTAGAACAGTTTGGGATACCCTAAAAATCATTAGTATATACTGGGTTCCCAAACTGCTTCACTAGTATCTTGTTGTCAACCCTTTACAACCCAACCCCACTACAACCGATTGACAATCATGCGGGTTTCATTTTTCGCCATGTTTTGTTGTGCGACTTGTGCTAATTATCAGTCTGGACAAGGTGGTTCCACTTTTGTTATTTTCAGTGTTGGCATGGTTCATTGTTGATGGTAACCTGTCCAGATCGCTTGACCAGGAGGTCTGACCATTTGATCAGATTCCCAACCAAAGGATCAGCACATCTATCAGAGGCTAGAGAACTGACTTCGGCTTCTGATAAGACTCGACTCCACATCTGAACCTGTARAACAATTATCACAAGAATGTTTTTACAGCTTAAAACTTGCTCTTCAACTGCATTATAAATTGAATGACAGAAAAAGAAGTATATTTGGCCATACGCTACTGTAAAAATAACTGAACACCAGACCAGTGGTGGCTCCAGGATTTTTTCAAGTGAAGGGTAAAGGTGTCCCATACAGAAGAGGATACTCACCACACACTAAAATGGCCATAAAAAGTAACAGGCACAGTTTTAAATGAAAGAGTACAAGATCGCACCCCTGCACCTAACAAATGGATTCGCCC